AGGGAAAAAAATTAACTTAAATGATTTTAGCAAATGGCTGCAATATAACAAAGAGTGAAAAATTTAACGGGGTCTGAATACTTTCCGTACCCACTGTATATATCGGTTCAAAATATCGGTTATCGGTCTACTTGATCTGTAATAATCGGTATCGGCATCGGCCTTGAAAAACACATATCGGTCGACCCCTAGACTACAATGCCGACTGCTCTGACTCACAGACTGTAAGTAGGTTTTCATATTTAAAGAATTTGCCACTGATGATTCAAACGCGAGTTTTGATCAGTGTAGAGTAACGCTTGTTGTTTCGTAATTTCTCAGATCACAAATGCAGACATGGTTTTATGTTTACACGGCACAATGCAATGCAACGTGTAAAAAGACAGTATAATCAGTTATTATATTCCCACTGGATGCAACAAATGCCTCGTCCAATCAGAGCACACCCCGCTTTTCAGACCGATGAGCTTTGTAAAAATCAACGTGTTTCAGAAAGGCGGGGCATAGAGGAGAAACAATAATGTACAGTAAGTGGAAAATAATGTGTTTTTTTTTTTTTACCTTAAACCGCATAAACACATTGCATTACACCAAATACACAAAATAATGTTCTTTTAGCAGCATCATATGACCCCTTTAAAAGCACCTACTAATAATGCCTGTGCTCTTCTCTTGATATCTTTCTCAGATCAATGTTCTTCAGGCCAAAAAGAAATTTGAAATTTTGGATTCGGTGAGTGGGTTCAAATGCCATTATAAACCAGCATTCTCCTCGCCCGTAATTTTCAGTGTTGACTGTTTGCTCTCCTCCACAGATGCTGTCGTTCATGCAGGCTCAGCACAGTCTCTTCCAGCAGGGCTTCAACCTCTTGGACGAGATTGACCCCTACATGAAGAAGCTGGCTGTTGAGGTGAGATAGATCTACACATCTGCTCCTCCAGGATCAGCAGCTCATTAGGGCCCTCTGTTCACCTGCTCTCCCTCAACACCTGCGCCTAATGCTGGACATGTGCTGACGAGCCCCAGGCTCCAAATTAACACCGGCCTAATGAGTGAAAATGAGGGATAATGTCTATCCTTGAGGTTGACAGGCACGTTGCATCTGTCTGAGACAGGCTTAAAGACGAGCTGGAAATATAATTCACCCTAATTAATAAAGTCTTATTGTGCACGATTCATCACTGCATGTTATTCTAAAGTTTATTTTCATAATATTTTATTATGTTACTATTAGTTACTTTAGTAACTGGCTCAGCAATTTTTGCTGATGTTAAGGCCATTGTAATATAATCGAATATAATAATGAATTAGAATTGTGTCCTAATAAATGTTGTTTTGCCATGTCACAAGGTTAAATGTGTTGCTAATGTAATTTCATGTTACCTTTAATAAAGAAATACCATAATTTTTATCAGTTTTCTCACACATTTAACCGATAAGTCTCTAAAGAGCAGCAGTCAACAGTGGTATTCACAAGTAAAGTAAATTATGAATGTGTTTTTGATTGTTATTATTATTATTAAAAACTGAAGCAACAACAATAATAGTAAATCATATAATAATAAATATAGTTTAAAATAAAATATATATTATAATAATATAATTAATAATTAAATTATATTTATTTTTATAATTAAATTAATATAAACAATGTATAATAATAATAATAATTCAAATTAAAGTAAAAAATATATAATAATAATAATAAATATTTATAGTCTTTTTTAAAATAATAATTTCCTTTTTTTTAAAAGAAGCATTTACTCCTTACTGTTTCAAAAACAAAATTAAACAGAAATTTAGTTCTGCGTTTTAGTTTATACAAAGGCTTATGCAAAAAATATAATTTCTATTAATATCATAGGCGTAACTTTTATTCTCGCTGTAGTATTGTTGCTGCCGCCGCCGCCATGTTGTGAAGACGCTGTGTGTTTCATTGTGAAAGCGAAACTACTTTGTTTGGTCTTCCAAAAGAGGACACGACTAGAAATCAGTGGTTAAGTTGTATTTACAACACTGTTCCAGAACACTTCAACCCAAATATTCAGATGTGTGCAGCGCATCTATAGAGGACTGTTTCCTGATCCTGGGAGAGTAGACTACAATGCCGGCTGTTCTGACTCACAGACTGTAAGTATATTTTCATATTTAAAGGATTTGCCACTGATGATTCAAACGTGAGTTTTGAGCAGTGTAGAGTAGCGCTTGTTGTTTGTCATTTCTCCGATTACAAATGCAGACATCGTTTTATGTTTACACGGCACAATGCAATGCAACGTGTAAAAAGACAGTATAATCAGTTATTATATTCCCACTGGATGCAACAAATGCCTCGTCCAATCAGAGCACACCCCGCTTTTCAGACCGATGAGCTTTGTAAAAATCAACGTGTTTCAGAAAGGCGGGGCATAGAGGAGAAACAATAATGTACAGTAAGTGGAAAATAATGTGTTTTTTTTTTTTTTACCTTAAACCGCATAAACACATTGCATTACACCAAATACACAAAATAATGTTCTTTTAGCAGCATCATATGACCCCTTTAAAAGCACCTACTAATAATGCCTGTGCTCTTCTCTTGATATCTTTCTCAGATCAATGTTCTTCAGGCCAAAAAGAAATTTGAAATTTTGGATTCGGTGAGTGGGTTCAAATGCCATTATAAACCAGCATTCTCCTCGCCCGTAATTTTCAGTGTTGACTGTTTGCTCTCCTCCACAGATGCTGTCGTTCATGCAGGCTCAGCACAGTCTCTTCCAGCAGGGCTTCAACCTCTTGGACGAGATTGACCCCTACATGAAGAAGCTGGCTGTTGAGGTGAGATAGATCTACACATCTGCTCCTCCAGGATCAGCAGCTCATTAGGGCCCTCTGTTCACCTGCTCTCCCCCAACACCTGCGCCTAATGCTGGACATGTGCTGACGAGCCCCAGGCTCCAAATTAACACAGGCCTAATGAGTGAAAATGAGGGATAATGTCTATCCTTGAGGTTGACAGGCACGTTGCATCTGTCTGAGACAGGCTTAAAGACGAGCTGAAAATATAATTCACCCTAATTAATAAAGTCTTATTGTGCACGATTCATCACTGCATGTTATTCTAAAGTTTATTTTCATAATATTTTATTATGTTACTATTAGTTACTTTAGTAACTGGCTCAGCAATTTTTGCTGATGTTAAGGCCATTGTAATATAATCGAATATAATAATGAATTAGAATTGTGTCCTAATAAATGTTGTTTTGCCATGTCACAAGGTTAAATGTGTTGCTAATGTAATTTCATGTTACCTTTAATAAAGAAATACCATAATTTTTATCAGTTTTCTCACACATTTAACCGATAAGTCTCTAAAGAGCAGCAGTCAACAGTGGTATTCACAAGTAAAGTAAATTATGAATGTGTTTTTGATTGTTATTATTATTATTAAAAACTGAAGCAACAACAATAATAGTAAATCATATAATAATAAATATAGTTTAAAATAAAATATATATTATAATAATATAATTAATAATTAAATTATATTTATTTTTATAATTAAATTAATATAAACAATGTGTAATAATAATAATAATTCAAATTAAAGTAAAAAATATATAATAATAATAATAAATATTTATAGTCTTTTTTAAAATAATAATTTCCTTTTTTTTAAAAGAAGCATTTACTCCTTACTGTTTCAAAAACAAAATTAAACAGAAATTTAGTTCTGCGTTTTAGTTTATACAAAGGCTTATGCAAAAAATATAATTTCTATTAATATCATATAATACCTATATATATATATATATATACACACACACAGGATAAAACAAGTCCTTTTGTGAATAAAAATCTACCGGTTATAAATATGATGAAAAATAATCTATATACAATGAAAAATGTGGTATAGTGGGAAAAAAAATCACTCAGAAACTGCTAGTATATTTAACAAATAATTACAAAAATAGCAAGTAAAAGATTGAATTAAACATAAAAAAACTGAAATAGAAAGATTGAAATAGTATTTTCTTGTAAAACGTATTCCAATAACCTTTGTTTTATTTACAGCTTCAAGTGTAACACTGCCCTTTGTGTTTTTATTTCAGTTGGATCAGCTGGTCATAGACTCAGCGATGGAGAAGAGAGAGATGGAGCACAAACATGCCACCATACAGCAGCGAGTGAGAACACCATCTGCTTTCTTTACTGTATCCGTCCTCATTTTCCATCTCTTTTCTTGCATCTTCCCCCTCTGGCCTTTTATCTTTCTTGTCTGCCGGATACCTTCCTGCTCTCTTCTGTTAAATCTTCGTTTTGTCTCGTCGTCCTCCTCTTTTAACTGCCTCTTTCCACCTAAGGGGTCATGTGAAACTGTTTTCACTCATAATATATGAAACCCACGTCCCATACAACCTTCCCACCTCAGATCCTCAGTTGAATCTGATCAGACAGATATAGGTGTGGCTACTGAATTATTAACCCTAAAATAAAAACGGGGGAATCAGGTGTCAGGTGAAGTTATTTCCTCTGAAGCACCGACACACTTCCTATCATAATATTGTCCGATCACTCAACCCCTTTGCTGTCATGTTTGTGACAGTTCAGTTAGCGAAAATGCTTGTATAAGAAACACTCTCCCTTCATGTATTTCAGCTACATATGTTCACCTCCGTTTGTGTCATTTGTTTGTTCAAACTGCTTCATCACCATATCAATAAAGCCTGTCCCGTCCAGATCGCCCCAGGAATTTGGCCCTCAAGACACACACACACATCCATCTGCTAGCACATTGCAAGCCAGCAGGGCATCGCAGCCAACAGATCCGGGCCAGAAACACTCTGACTTTTCCCTCTGACCCTGAATCTTTGTCTCGGCTCGTCTTTGTTCAGATTCCAGTAGTATTGATAGGGCATTTCTGGACAAAAGCAAGTTAATTTGGCCCAGCAGATTTAAAGTGCCACTATTATGGGTAATGAAAGGTTCATATTTTGGTTTTGGGAGTCCCCAATAACAGGCTGACATGCATGTAAGGTCAAAAAACACTTTCATTGTCTTATAATATGCATTTCTTTTTTACCTTATTTGCTCAACGACTCCCAAACGATTCGCTCAACGATTCATTTTTCCAAACCCCTCCTTTGTGTGACGCTAATCTGCGGTGATTGGTCCGATTGGTCTCATTTTAATGTCATCTTGCCTGTAATGCCTGATAAAGCAGCGTTTGTGAGCGCAGTGCTGTTTTGTTTACTACGTTACTGGGGAAACCGCTATTTTACAGCTCCAAAAGCGGCAAAGAATGAATTTGTATTTTCATTCAGACCAACACGAAAAGACCAACAAGTGGGCGGGCAATATGCTAATGTTCATGTTGACGTCAAGATGAAACGGCTTGGGATTCGTTTTAAAAACGACTCGTTTCAATGATTCAGAGTCAACTCTTTCTTTTGAGAGACAATAACTTTATACACGGTGCACTTTCAGATTTAAAACTTTGCGGGATGTTTTCATTCACTTACACACTGCATGAAAGGTAATTTTCAAAAATCCATAATAGGGGCACTTTCAAATTGAATCTGATTTGGATGTGAAGGCAGAAACTAGTTCTAAAATCGATTTATAACTTTGTGACATCGCAGGGACTATTTGCATTGATCATTGAGATCTGAATGTAGCAATGATCAGAACTAATGTTCCAATTAGCCAGATGGTGGATGTGTGTTGTCGTTTATGAATAAATGCATGCAGTATGCAGAAAAAAAAAGATAAAGACTGAAAAGACAAATAATTGAAATTTTCTTTCTCTTTTTCCTCGCTGTGCAATCCTCATATCCAGACTTTGATGCAGGTGAGTCCGTTTTCTCTTCATTCACAGGATGAATTCTTGTTTTGGCTATATAGACGAACAGATGAATGATTACAATGCTCGTTTTGCTCTTGGTTTGGTCCAAAATTAACATTTTCCAGTAAATGTTGGGTAAATTTAGAATATGTAACAATTGCAAATATACTGTGAAACTGTATTTAGGGTTTTATAAAAAAGTATATTATATTTTTGTCCTTGTGACAATAGACTTATACGTAATGAAAAGAGCAAGTCATGTGTCACTCACATTTAAATGAATCTTAATTCAAAAATAAATTAATCGCATTAAAAATAAAAGTTTTTGTTCACATAATATGTGTGTGTACTGTGTATATTTATTATGTGTATATAAATACAAACACATGCATGTATGTATTTAAGAAAAGTTTTATGTTTATATAATAAACATATTTATATATAATATAAATATATGCATGTAAATGCATGTAAATATTTTCAATATATACTGTATGTGTGTGCTTTTGTATATACATAATAAATATACACAGTACACACATATATATATATTATATAAACAAAAACTTTTATTTTCGATGCGATTAATTGTTTGACAGCACTGCTTTTTTGCATACAATATTCTGACATCTAAATTCACTCGTAGCATTTAAAATGATTTATCGTAGTTTTTAGTGTTAAATGATTTTCGGTTAGAAATACTATACTTTATATTTATATATATATATATATAATAAAGTTTAATATTTCTGCATTATGTAGATGCTTTTATCCATTTGTGCGTTTAGGTAATATATTTTTCCTTGCTAGCATACAGCTACAACAGGAACACATATTTTCCTTCCTGGGTTCCAGTTGTCTATCAATAAATGCATTTTTATGAGGCAGTTCAGTCAGCCTTAGGGATAGATTGATTGGTGATCTATAAAGAATTGCTTTATGGCCATCACATGCCATGTTTAGTGTAATCCGTGTGAGTGTGTGTGTAAGAAGGGAGACAAGGACATCACAAAATCACATGGACAACACTGCGTTTATCACATTCACTGGCTGTAGTGAGAATAAAACAAGAACGTTTCCCTGGAAAAGACATTTTCAGAGCAGCCGGTGTCTATTTGATGTATGTTTTAGATGTTTATACAGCAGCATTGTGGATTAACTTTAGTTTATATGCAATTTTTGGAGAACATGAAAAATGTCCAGGGGTTTTGAGGCTGTCAGAGGCTGTCTTATGCAGCTCTGATGAAAGCCAAAAAGTATTTTTCTGTGGATTTTCTTTTTATGCCTGTGGAACCAAAGATCGACATTTCAAATTCATGTATTTATCAAAGAATCCTGTTTCATGGTTTCACAAAACTATTAAGCGGAAAAACAGTTTTTTAAACATTGGTAATAATAAGAAATGTTTCTTGAGTTTGAAATCAGCATCTTAGAATGATTTCTGAAGGATCATGTGACACTGAAGACTGGAGTAATGATGCTGAAAATTCAGCTTTGATCACAGGAATAATTACATTTTAAAATATATTAGAAAAGTTATTTGAAGCTGTAATAATACTTCTGAATATACCAGTTTTACTGTATATTTGCTCAAATAAATACAGCCTTGATGAGCCTAAGAGATGTCTTTCAAAAACATTTAAAAAAATCAAACCAAACCTCGAACGTTTGAACAATAAAGTATGTGTAATAATGATTTTCAAAGTTATGAGATTAAAAGGACAAGCAGGCCTTAGAGACAACCAGAGAATAGGGACAAAAATAACTGTGTAACAAAAAAACAGAAATTTTAATTACAGAGAAAAGTAGGTTGTCAGACAGCTAAAGAAAAGAACGAGGAACAATTGAACTGTGCATGAAAGAGAGTGAGAAACTACTGGGAGAAAGAGAACAGCTGTAAAGTCCATAATAAGCTTAAAGCGTACAGCCCGTTTGGGCCCGTATGTTCAGCACACTTCCACAAAACAGCATGTCGTCTGGTGACCTGTTGGCCCCGAGTTGAGATTAACATCTTTGCCATGTCCACCCACACAGCCTATAGAAACAGTTCATCAGAGAGGGTCACAAAACACAAGACATGCAATGCCCAATAAAAAACATTCAGAACACCAAATCTGACCATATATGTAGATGCCACAGTGGACCGCTCCGGACATGTTGGTGCGTCCGCCATCTTGGAACAGTCAACGACTCGTCACTAACAGTAAAAATCAAATCATTTTCCAAAGTGACACTCTGGTTGTAACGCCAATATTTATATTCCCAAAGCAATTGGATAAATGTTAACAGGTTTATTAACTTAATGGTATGATTGCTACTGCCTTTGTCTTGTTGTATTGTTAGTTTAGTAAAATATTCATCTGATGTCTATTCCAGATATAGATATTCATATATGCGTATAACTACTGATGCAGATGCACAGTCAACTTGCTCGCAAGTGTTCATGGACCGGCTTTGACAAACTGACAAATTATTGTTCCAAAATGGCTATGGCTTACGTTTAGCAGCCCATAGAATATCTACAGTGCTGGGTAGATTACTTACAAAGTGTAGTCTGTTATTGATCCCGAATTACATGACAAAAATTGTAGTTTGTAATGTGATTCATTACATTACACGTTTTAAGTAATATAATCAGATCACTTCTCGATTACTTTTAGATTAGTTTTGACCGAACACATTTATCACATTCATTTAAACAGGATAGTCTTGTACCATATTGATATAAAAATACAAAGAGAAAGAAACAAATCACAATTTTCTGTGTAAAATATCCACCTGACTACATTTACATTTAGTCATTTTGCAGACGCTTTTATCCAAAGCGACTTACAATTGGGGGATACATAAAGCGATTCTTCTTAAAGAGGCAAACAGACACAGGAAGTGGTTGTAATACCAAGTTTTAAAGAGAAAGACAGTTTTTTTTTTGTTTTGCTTTTTTTAATTAAGGATGAAGTCAAGTAGAGTCGAAAGAGATGAGTTTTCAGCTGTCGCTTGAAAAGTAGGGGTGGGAAGATCATTCCACCAGCCAGGAATGGTGAACGAGAATGTTCTGGAAAGTGATTTTGAGACTTTCTGTGATGGTACCACGAGGCATCGCTCACTAGCGGATCTCAGACTTCTGGAGGGGATGTAGATTCGTAGTAGTGAGTGGAAGTAGGTGGGTGCTGAGCCTGTGGCTGTTCTATATGCAAGCATCAATGTCTTGAATTTGATGCGAGCCGCAACTGGTAGCCAGTGCAAGGAGATAAAGAGAGGTGTAACATGGGCTCTTTTGGGCTCATTGAAGACCAGCCGTGCCGCTGCATTCTGAACCATTTGTAGAGGTTTAATTGTGTCTGTATATGGAGAAGAGGAGGGGTCCAAGAACTGATCCCTGAGGAACCCCAGTGACCAGTTGATGTGCTTTGGATACCTCCCCACCCCAGGCCACCCTGAAAGACTGCAAACCAGCGAAGTGGAATCCCTGTAATGCCCAGTGATGAGTGGGTGGACAGGAGGATCTGATGATTGACAGTGTCAAAAGCAGCAGATAGATCCAGCAATCCTTTCGCAATCCGCACGGCCTCCGTGACTGACAGTAGTGCAGTCTCAGTTGAATGGCCACTCCTGAAACCTGACTGGTTAGCGTCCAGTTTGTTGTTCTGTGAAAGAAACAATGATACCTTGTTGAAAACAACTCGTTGGACGGTTTTCACTATGAATGGAAGGAGAGAGACAGGTCTGTAGCTATCTAGTGACTACTAGTGACTGGTCTTTGTGTGATTGTCCACAAAACTGGAAGATTTCTGACTGTATATAAGCAGTAGTCTATTTGGGACCCTGGACCACAAAACCAGTAATAAGTTGCACGAGTAGATTTGTAGAAATAGCCAACAATACATTGTAAGGGTCAAAATTATAGATTTTTCTTTTATGCCAAAAATCATTAGGATATTAAGTAAAGATCACATTCCATGAAGATATTTTGTAAATTTACTATCGTAAATATATCAAAACTTAATTTCTGGTTAGTAATATGCATTGCTAAGGACTTAATTTGAACAATGGCATCATTTTAGTCATGATCATTTTGGCGATTTTCTTAATATTTAGATTTTTTTGCACCCTCAGATTCCAGATTTTCAAGTAATTGTATGTCGACCAAATATTGTCCTAACAAAAACCATACATCAATAGAAAGCTGATTTATTCAGCTTTCAGATGATGTGTAAATCTCTTATGACTGGTTTTGTTCTCCAGTTTTTGGGGTTTTTAGAAAGGAACATTTAAAAGATGAAAAAGTAGAAATAGAGAGAATCATTGAATTATGAATAATTTATTGCTAATAAGTGAATAATATGTGATCATGTAATCAATAAAAAGTAGTCTGATTACGAGTGTTTTAAAATGTAATATAATCTAATTACTAATTTAATATTTTTTGTAATCTGATCATGTAATCCAGGTTACATGTAATCAGTTACTACCCAGCTCTGTATATCTACCAATAGCATCCCACCATTGTCACAGTGAATGGACAAACTCAGACAATGTAAATATATCTAGCTCCAAACTTATGATATGAGAGCAGTCGGTGAATGTGGCCAGCTGCAATTCCTGAGCGATGCTGTGGGCGGAAGCGTCCTGTTGATTTATCAAATGATTTATCTGCAGAGATGCCTGAACAGTGTCTCTGTCCCTCCTCCTCTTTCCTACGGTGACAGAGTTACGATCTCTCTGGCTGTCCCACCACCTAGCCGTTTTACTGCCTCCTCGTGTTGCATCTGTCACTCGTAACATGCACACACACTAACTCGCTTCTCTCACACTGGTCTTTTATTCACGTCTAACCTGCTTGTGGCTCCCTTGGGGTTTCTCTTTCTCAGTCCTTTACAGAGTTACGGTATGTCGCACACTCAGCTATGCTAGGTGGCTGTATAAGCATGCAGTGCTAACATGGAACACAAAACTGCATTAATGAAAGACTGAGAACCAGATTGTGTTTGTTTTTGTTATAACACAGGCTATATGTGTGTATATATATATATATATATGTATTGTTGTACACCCAAAGCGCTTTACAATCATGTGGGGGGGTCTCTCCTCAACCACCACCAGTGGTTTAATATATATATATAAAAAACAAAAACATTGGGGTTACTCCATTTGACATGAAAATGTTAAAATATCACATCTCCACAACAATTTACTGCCCTTGACATACAAGGTTCATATCATATTCAAGTTTTCTTGTCAACAAAAAAAACATCTTGTATATTGGTTACTCCAAACTGAATTTAATTTGGTGGAAATTTAGAAATAGTGGTATAATAATATCTTGCCCTCCCTAATTTTAATACTATTGATTGTAAATAAATAATATTAAAAGATTATGGCAAACTACTATATGCCACATTCGGTCACAATTTACTTTAAGGTCCAAATCTCACTATTAACAAAAACCATTCAATATGACTTTTGCCTCAATAAACCTCTACTTTGCTGTATATTAATAAGTAGTAAGGTATTGGGTATGATTAGGGATGTAGAATATGATCATGTAGAATATGTGCTTAATAAACAGCCAATATGTTAATAACAGGCATGCTAATAAACAACTAGTTAATACGGACATTTTTCCAAGAATTTAACTTTTTTTATTATTATAATTATATGTAATTCTAATTGTGTATATATACAATTTTCAATATTCTATTCTAATTAGCCTATATATTATTCTGCTTGTGTGTGTGTGTGTGTGTGTGTGTGTGTGTGTGTGTGTGTGTGTGTGTGTGTGTGTGTGTGTGTGTGTGTGTGTGTGTGTGTGTGTGTAGAATTTTCAATGTAAACGTTGTTGTATTTGCATTTAAAATGTGTAATGCATTTCTTCAGTAATTGAGGTTCAGTTAGTTGAGGTGTAGTGAAGTCATGGTGGAATCAATACGGGCATTTTATCTAAATCTGTTTAGATGCTCTATTATTAATGATTATCTGCTGTTGTGTGTTTTTTCTTCATAATGCAGGCGTGATAGAACGACAGAAATCCTTAACGAGTGTAATCTTTCCTGTGATCCACTTGTTAGAGAGTGTGAGAGCTGGAAGTAAGAGGTTCTCTGAGAGGCAATAACGCTTGCTTGATTGAACAGCCATGGTCTTGCATAGACTGTCAGACAGATGGACGAGTGAGTTTAAAGAGAACACCGCGCGCTCGTAAATCTGCGAATGACGCGGTGCTTTCTGTACGTGGCAGTGAAATAATGTTTGCGGTCGGCTCTCTGACTGAGGTCATGGAGCAGAGCACATAAATCGACAGCTGTATGCTAATCCTGTGAATATTGAGCAGTGGAAGTGTGGTGCGCATTCGCCATTCGCTCTCGCTTGAGTGAGGAGTGCGCACGAGATCGATGAAGCGCGTGCCTTTGACTTTCATGTGAGACGACTTCACTGTAGAGAAACAAGACTAAGCTCTTAGTTGCTCCATTATTACTGATGCTTCTGGATAAACATTTTTTAAAGATGAAGATATTCGGGAGATTGAAGTATACTTTGGTGAGTTTGAATGCGTTTTTTTGTGTGTTTTGTGTTAATGCAATCTGTTGAGATATGATTTGTTTATTATTATTGTTTGTTACACGTATTGCATATTATTTAACTTCAGTGATCTCTTATTGATACTTTTTTCAGCAAGTTATTTAGTGAATGTGTATTTAGTATTTGACTTACTGATATCGCTCTTACAATATTTATTTCATTATTTATTTAGCGTAGAGGTATTCAAACATTGTCAGGCCAATACTATCTTATTTGTAGAAAGATGGAGCAGGGACTCCTGTTAAATATGGTCTATCATTGCATTGCATATGATCTATAAAACACTTTTATAGTACCATATTAAATATGTACTAAGTACAATAAATACATAATTTTTTTGTATGTGCATACTTTATGATGCTTACATTACAAAGGCATAAAATCATCATTATTGATGTAGAGTCATATGCTTTACATTTAAATTTTAATGAATACATTTCATTTTTATTTACTTATTTTCTAAAATACTTATCTGTAGAAGTAAATTCACATTGTTTTGGTAAAACAATGTCAATTTAATTTTGTATGAATAAAATGAATTGAAAAATAAAAAATATTAATTCATTTTAAAATGTTTTTTAAAATGTATAATTGTTACCATATAAGTTTTTATTGTAGCATTTTTTTTTTAGTACTCTAATATAGGCTCATGTTTGTTGAGCTTGTTTAGAAGATTGGAAACCGAGTGGCCTCTTTTCATGTCCTTTGCAACCTTTTTTCAGGCTCTTTCATATAATTTTGATGATGAATGATCTTGAAACATGACTGAGTGAGTTGTATTTGTTGTCTCTGTGTGTGTGTGT